AATAAAACAATGATGCATACAAAATCAAAATGTCAAGGAAAACAACTAAATTAAAAATAAGTCATGAATGAAAAGGAGCATAAAGAAGTATGAACTTACAATATCTGCCCCCCTACTCGCAAAATAAAATCAACCACCAACTCAAAAGTTCACCGTCAGCATACGGTGAAAATAACACAACACACAAAATTACAACAACACTTTCACAAGTTATAAAGTGCACTGCCACACGTCCTTTAGGTTAAATCTACAATAACGTAAGTGCCAAGTACAAACAACTCCACTGGTGGCCAGGGTGCGCAAGCACGACTACAACTCAGTTTAAAGATAGTAAGCGACCCCCATCTGGCCCCCCCTGAATTCCGCTGTTGGTCTGGGGACATCAAAAACTGGGGTCTTAGGAATAAAAAAATCTTGAAAACCTCACATGAAATGAAAAAAATAAATAAATATGGTTTAAATGACTTTCAGTTTGCACAAAAAACAATGACGAGAATTGCTGGTCCCATTTGTTTTTTCCTCACGCAGGCTGTGTCTTTAATTATAGGAAATGGGCWGATCAGAGGGATCAGAGAGGCCCGCTGGCTCGAACAGAAGTCTGCGCATGCGCTCTGGCTCTCAGTAGAGAAGACCAGAGGCTTCGGGCACGTTTGGGACCAAAAAAACGGGGTGAGCTGAAACCTAGTGTTTTTCTCTCTCGCTCTCTAACATTTTTAACTTCAACTAACACTTACGACACGAAGAAAACCAGGTAGTTATGAGCCTCGTTCTCTCCTTCAACCTTTCGCTGAGGAATTTAGGTCGTTTTGATTCAATCACATCCTCTAAGCTCGGGCATCTGATTTGTGTTAAATCTGCCTGTCAGCACAGCATGCTAACCCCTTTCCGACCAGCTGTACCAACGAGAAGATAAGAGTTAGTGGACACAGTCAAGATAACAAATGGATGTTGTGTTTGTAATGTAACTGTTGTAGAGGGCTTGTTACGGKGCGGTGGCGCTTTGTTTGTGAATTTTCTTGCTGCACGTCGTGTTGTAGCGGGCAGGGCTCGGCTGGGCCACTGACACTTCAAGGATGTTTTCATGTTGATACAAAAACAACATTTAAACACTAAGTTTGTGTCATAACGCTCATTTTAATGGTRAATAATGTAATAGCTGCGGATATTTTAGATCCTCTCTTTTTGTCACAAGGACATTTTTACAGTGTTMATTAGCAACAAGTTCACAAAATTCAGCTTTTTTTTTTCCACTTGCAGTTGTTGAGAATTGTTTATTAGATTGTATATGCCTGTTTGTATGTCTAAACACTGTGTTTTACTTTTACTCTTACAGATAAATCACCCCTAACACCCCGGTGGGAGTCATGGGGAGTGGTGAGTTTATTGACACAAACACACACAAACCTAAAGAGTTAAAARTGTAATCAGAATTCAGCTTCCGTTTTGGTTTTGTCCCCTTTCTCCTTCCGTTGTGTTCATTGTCAACATTGCTCCCTTTGGTTTTCATTGTTGCGTTGAAAACAGTAACAATTCTCATTCTTTTCCATGTTTTTAAGAGACGTTTCCTGTTTTTTATTTTGTGCTGAACACATAAAGTTGTGAGTCACAATGACGTAATTTCTTATTAATGTTTATTACACATCAGACATTCACTCCCAGGACTCCTTGTGTTCATTTTTCTTGTTTTTTCTTTTCTTTCTGTTTGTTAATTTGTTTAGATTTTTTTCTCAGACAGAACAGGGATGAATGCCCAAACCAAATGAGCTTTTGTTTTTATGCAAAATGTAGTCACTGAGCCGCTGTGGTCTCTCCTCAGCTGCTTTTGTTTTGGCCTCTCACTTTTTATTTTCCAGCTTCTTGGCCTCCCCCAGTATAATTTCTCTTTGCTTATTTTCTTCCTCCCACATGCTGTTTCACTTATCTTGGCTTCACTACTTTCCTCTTCGCTCGTTTTTCATACTTTTCTCGTACGCTTCTCTCAAACTTGTATCCTTCTCCYGCCATCGTCTCGTTTTCACGGTGCCGTTTCGTAACTCGTCGCCGTGCTCATCTTTTGTTGTTTTTGTTGCAGTGTTCCTGCCAGCGAACGCAGCCCACTCGGTGCTGAAGCGGCTGCGGAGGGCCAACTCCCTTTTAGAGGAGATRAAGCTGGGCAACATCCAGAGAGAGTGCCGGGAGGAGGTCTGCACCTACGAGGAGGCCCGGGAAGCCTTTGAGAACGACGAGAAGACGGTGAGAGGAGAATAATTATCTTCTTGGACCGATTTGTTTTATTTGTGCAAGTTTTGTAACAAAGTTTACTACCTGGACTTTAGGAGACTACTTGTACATGGCCATATGTGACCCATCATATCGAAATGAGGATTAAGTCAAATTTGGTCAAAATGACCGAAAAACATTTTCAAATTTCAGTCTTTAAAAGCTACATTTTGATACCTGGATCATTCTGATATAAGTGGATCTAGAGATATGACTTACCGGTAATTTGTGTTGTTCGTTACGATAATACATTACTTTTTGGTCTGAATCCTAATTTTATGTACATTTATTGAGTAATTTTTGATGTCAATATAAAGAGGAAACCTCAAATAGTATTTGTATATTAACATTTCCCAGTTGGAAAGAAACAAACTTTGCAAGCTCACAGGGACAAATTCAAAATTTTAAGGCGTTTTTCCTCAAAATCAGGTTGTTTTTTTGCTACTGCTAAAAAATGCTTCAATTATTTTTAGGATTATATTTCAGACAGTTCATTCAGATAAGGCATTTATTCATTATATTTTGACAAAATGCAGTTTTTGCACACGTTTAAATCAAAACCCTATTTCTACCCGTTTTTCCACATTCCGCTTTTGGACTTAATCCTCGTTTCGATGTGATGGGTCACATATCGTTAGATTTTTATTAAATGTAGTGTTAAACTTTAGATAACCTACAGGTTTAAACTGTATTAAGACATGTTGCTTTGCTTCTTTAAGGTCAAAGATGCTTTTTTTAAATGATGGGATAATTATGACTTTTACCAAATGATGTGTCATTTTTATTCTGATCCATTCCTATCTGTTTCATTTCTGGCCTCTGTGTTTATCCCTTTGTATTACAGTTTACATTTCAGACATTTTCTGCCCAACCTCTAATGGACAGATAGAAATTTACATGAGTTCTGCAAGTCATAATGTTGTACAGCAGAGTACACGGCAGTTATCTTCAGGACTGTACAAAAACCMAGCTCCAACTTCTGTGGTTTAAGATATTTAACAAAACAGAAACTGTTTCTTAAAAAAAAAAACAAGACTCTGATCTTCAGCAAAAAACCCATAAACTATTATTATAGCCATGCATCAAAGTCCAGCTACCCAAAATTAAAGGGGGGAAATGTCATTTTAGAATGATTTTTTTCTTGTGTTTATCATAAAATACTTGCATGTGGAATGTGAGTGTTTGTCAGGAAGTGATTTTTATCAGCAGGAAGAACAGCCTAGTGAACACCAGGGGAGACATATTAGTAAAAACCATTGTGAGAGGCCACAGAGCTCAGTCGGAGGGACGTTCACAGTCACGTAGTCTCGTTGTTTGGAGTTGTTGTCCGCTCCCTTTGTGTTGGAGGAATTCACATAAAAGGAATTCATCAAATAGGCTGTGTGTGTGTGTGTGTGTGTGTGTGATGCTGAAATTTACGTTTGACTGAGTTCTGTTGAAAACATTAGGAAACCTTTAGTGGTTTTGACAGCATTTCTGTCTTCGTCCCGACTCTGCAGAAGCGCTTTTGGGAGGAGTACGTCCGTGAAAGTAGTCCACCCGGCGGGCTGAATTCGATGGTCGGCGGCGCTCAGTCTCTCTACGTGATTGTGCCGTTGGTGCTGGTCGGGCTCATCATTGCCGTCATCGCCATCACCGCGTGGCRCTGCCACTCCCGCAAACGCTCGCAGCGCAGCCCGGGCCTGGGACACTCGCACCACAGCCACGTCCTGTCGGTGGTCTCCATGGACCAGTGGGGGAGGGATTACCACCACGGTGACCAATCTGAACTCAGCATCCACAGCAGCCCAGCCTATCCGGGCTCTGAGATCACATCAGCGAGGGGAGGCGCAGGAGATCCACCGCCATCTTATGAAGAGGCCGTGGGACATACAGATGTCCAGATAGAGACGGAGCCTCCTCCCCAGTACGAGGATATAATGAACACCAGCTCCAGTAGAATTACCAGCGGACAAAGGAAGTAAATGTTTTTTTTCCTCCACTACCACCCAAACTAAAGTCTATCAATGCTACTACTGTGGTATCACCAGCCTTCCTCGTTCAACATGCACAACAAAAACACAATAATTGCCATTTCGGTGGACTAATGCAATCTTCGCTGTAACCAGCCCTGCTGAGATTTGCACTAACCTTTTTATCACTGAAGTGAAGCAATGGCAAGAAGGATAAGCTTGTACTGGAGTACCAGCCAACACCTCAGCTCCATTTCTTCGAGTTGGGTACTTACCTTTCAGTCAGCACACACGGTAAATATTGCATGAGGTGTGAAGGAAAAAAGGGTTTTTGTTTCCGTGTTAAAGGGACAACCATTCGAACTGGACTGTCTATGGGGTTTGGATTGATGCTTGTTTGTAAATTAGTGCCAATTTTTTTTAACTCATTTGGCTAACGTCAATTTTGTATCTTAATTTTTAACATCTTTAACCGTAGCTTTGGTTTTTGTCAACCTATTTAAGATTTTGAAAGTTTATTGCAGTTCTATTTTTTAAACTTCTGAAACTTCCATTTGTTCCCGAACCTCCCGCTGAACCAGCAGGTCTGATAGAAATTCAGAATTTGGCCGTTTGCTTGTTGTGACAGTAGAAGTTGATGCCAAATGTTCAAAGTTGTGTAAAGTTGGAGAGCTTGTGAATCTYCTCTATGACCTCCTACATTACCATCAGCACTTCAAGTCATTGTTGACATAAAAACAATGTCTGTTTAAACTAAGTTTCCAGACATACATTGGTTCAACTTTTTTTTTTGCTTGAAGTCGAGAGATATTGCCAGCAGATGTTAAAAAAATGTGTTGCTTAAGATATAAAAATGAGCACTATGGAAATAAATGTAAGGGATGATTCTGTACTAAATGTCACTATGGATAAAGTTCATGTTTAGCATGTGTATACCTCTACATACTTATATATGTGTATAGATTTTATGTGTGAAACTCACAATGATTTTTTCCTGCATAGGAATTCAGTGAATRCATTGACACTAATGCAACCAAGGTTGTGACTACATTAGGAAACCTTTTAAAGGTCAAACTGGTTCCTTTAATAGGAAAGCCTGGTTTGACAACTTAAGCTTCGCTCTCAGCAGTCCCAATGTCAGTGTAATTCTGGGTGCTCTTAATCAATATGCAATATTGTCTAAATGCATAACCTTTAAAACCTAATTCACCCATCGAACAAACTGAAATCTCACTCAATCGTTCTCTGCAAACACTTTGGGCACTGATTAATGGTGTATTTGTGTGTTAACCTGTGAACCTCATCMTTTACTTTGACACTGAACTGTGCTGGTACTCACTTTGGTTCAGTCAGTTATTGTACTGTTACTTACATCCTTTTTTTTTTTTACAATGCCTTATTAAACAAAACGCTATACAAAAGTAAATTTAAGGGAACTTGTTATAAAAGTGTAAAAAAGCTTGAATTRTTTKTAATAAAATTTAAAATGTGGTACTAGTTTGCTTGTCACTCAGATCCCATAGTGCAATGTGTTTGGGTAAAAGTTTCCAGTTTCTTTTTTTTTAAATCTACTGGATATTAACTGTGCAAACAAAATGTTCAATGTTGTACAGATTGCCCCRGCTGGATTAAAAGAAYTGCTAGAGTTTATAAAGGGGTAAARTTTATAGTTAGTTGATTTGGTGCTAGAACAGTTGCAACCAAAGAAAATAAGTAGGAGTTTCAGGTATACATTCTTCTGAAACGCCTCAGACTGAAGTAGTCCTATTTTTTTTCTACCTGGATTACTGAGATGCATCAGGACAATTATTTACAACAAATGTAGAAAATAAATGTAATAACTCTAGATTCAGTTTATAGATATACACACTGAAAACAGTTGTACTGGTGGACATATTTCCCTTTTTTTCCCACCCTTTTGTCACCTGAACTGAAACCACTCTGAAACACGATCGAAAATCCCCGTACGGTTTACCTCTGTTCAACACGAGGTGACACATTAACCACAACTGAGACCTACAACAATATAAAAGGGCTCGTGGGAACAATTAGCTCTTACTTGAGAATCAGATTGTACAAACACAAAATGGTTTTAAGCATACATAAGTGGTTTAATTTTTTTTTTAAATTTCACATTTCAGTAGTAACACAATTATCAGCTGCCCCCGCTTTCAGTGCTTCATTAATTATCAGTTGAGGAAATTAAGAGTTTTGACATTTTTGACATGACAAAAATAATAGCTCAAGTGAGCAAATCATCAAATCAAGAGGACCCAAAAGTAGGTCACATGAAAAAATATTTTTTGGTCTTTATTCTGTCAGAGAGAATGGCACAAATGTCCTTCATTAATAAAATCTCTTTTGTCAAGTTTTAACAAGGATGGTCTGACAAAACAAACAATCAGAGCCATTACCAAGAAAGTGAATTCTGATAACTGCCATGCAATATGATATTTTTGTTAAACAGGTCACTGCTTCAAAAAAAAAAAAAAAATCCAACAATGAAGGGTTGTAAACCTGAACATTGCTCACACCCACTCCTTTGGGTTTCGGAGCACCTCGATCATCTCTGCCTCCCGGGAACCTTTAGCGGGTTCGTGCATGTACTCCCACCTGAGGACGACAAGTCAGTGCGTTACAAAGCAACCACACAGAGCGTATTACAGTCACACAGGAGCAGGGAGGGGCTGCCTTACGTGGCTGTGAGGGGGAGGGACATGAGGATGCTCTCGATTCTGGAGCCAGGCGTGGCCAGGCCGAACTTCACTCCCCGGTCGTACACCAGGTTGAACTCCACATACCTGCAAGATGCACACAAAATACCAGCTGTCGTGTGATTCACTGTCCAACCAGGTCAGATTAACTTTTAATCATGACGTGCCAACAGAGAAGTGTCTTACATCTTGAAACTAATATTCCACCAAGATGTAAACTTTTGAGTTCACATTTTTTAACTGCTTTTTTTGCTAGTTGAGAAGGGGGTCTGTGCAGAAGATGCTGTCATGTGGGCGGAGACGGCCCTACTCGTGGAGTAGGTTGGTCTAGTCAGGCAGGAAGCAACATTTTAAAATTTATTTTAGCCATAAAAAAATTTGCCATAACTTGAGAAAAGAAGGTGCTAGCTGCACGAAATTTGAAAGCTGTAGAGATGGAGGGRTGTGTAACAAATTGGCTCAGTCAAAAAAACCCTAACCAGCCCATAAAAAGATAGCTAAAAATCAATATGAATATGAATATTATGAATATCTTAATTTGAGACAGGAAGAAGCTTGCCACATGAAATTTCAAGTCAAATTATGTTTGCATTTACAAAACTTAATTTAATATCTTATGCTTTTAACTGTGCACAATAGTACTAATACAGTACATTAGGTCTGGAAGAATTACAGATTTTTTCTTCAAGACTGACAAACATCCTCACAGACCTAGGAGGCACATTTATCCTTGTTTTTTAATCATTAGTGGGGATGTAACGATTCACTCAAACCCTGATTCGATTATCTATTTTAAGTTCACGATTATGAATATTTACATTTTTTTAAACAAAATGATTTGTAGTCATTTTAAAACCAAATGTTTTTTTCTTTTAACATCAGTATTTTTGTCCTTGTATCAAAC